AATTCCCATTATTCGTTAATTCCTGCTCAATTTGTTTAGATTACGATTAAAATCTGTTCGGTTCACCTTCTTTTCTGACTCTATTCACGTCCTTTGAGCAGTAATCGATTTAAAAACCATGTTCACTCACTCTTTCATCAACTCATTCAAACTGGTATTAATATTTCTCTCTACAATTTTACCTTATACACGATTTCATTTCACATCCATAAATTTGGACAAAAAATAATTTTATTAGTCTCTTCCTGATTTAAAGATTCTCGATGACAATTTTAATTGCTTACTGCCAGTTTTATGTTCCGATCTAGGAAACTATTTATGTGTAACTTTTTAATATCAGCAGGTTACATATTAGCATTCTTTACATGGAACGAGTATTTTAGTATGCTTCATGCATAAAAAGAGAAGTAGTATCCGGAATTTCGAAATTCAAATCATAATCGTGAGTGGCGTTGCCCTTTGTTAAATTCAACGCAATTGTAATAAAAATAATTAAAAGAGGCAAAAATTTGCCAACTTGAAAATTTTCAAATATCTTTTTATAGAATCTAAACCTCAAGATAAAGTATTAAGGGTTTTTTTTTTTTTTTTTAAAGATTCCTTATATATAGTTTTTGCGTTTTCCTTGAATAACGGCATCGTACTTCCTGATTGAAGTATCATGTTATTCGTTATAATTTTTATTGATGTAAGCTATTTTAGTCCAATCATGCAAGATAATTGATTACTGCATTAAAATGAATTTCTAAATGAGACAATAAATCGTAGATTTAGATATCAATTATTAATATTAGTCTTGATTCCGTTGCAACTCAATAAATAACATTATTGTTGTTTCTCCATTTTTCAACCTGATCTACATGTATCTTGATTCTGTTTTGTGAAACCATGTTAAGTTGGTATTGAATGATATAGACCAGTATTATGATACAGTTCTCTATACGACCAATTAGTTTCTATATTTCTACTTATATTAACCTTTAGATCCTTTGTGATTTAAACCTCTTTATTTGGCTGAATTCTGTCTGACCTTCGCTCTGTCAGACTATATATAAAATAAAAACCTATAAAAATTGGAAGTATTTGATATTCGATTCCATATATTCCTGAAGCCAATTATTTCAGACCTATTTGAAAATAATGATTCTGATTTCGGGGAAATTTATTGTACAGACAAACTGTTCGCAATTTGTACTACTTGCAGCTGTTGGGAGGATGTGTGAAAGCGATTTGTAGGCGCTATAAAGTGATTAGATTATTTCATGTGATGCTAAAACGCTTCCTTGAGCTCACCTTATCTGTGGATAGTTGACAGTCACAAGAGCGTTGTTTCATTCAAATAGAAAAACGGACCGAGTGGATCAGATAAAGATAGATATTCTTGCTAGTATAACCCTTCACAATCTTTATTCTCAATAGAATTGAAATTAAACACGATTATGAGCATGATTCGGCATATCCCTTTATGATGGTTATGATAATCACATATCTTTATAGAAATAAACCATGATAGGTTGAAAGCAATTATTGTTTATGACAATATCTGACATCGATTTGATCAGTGTTGGACCTGTCATCCTAGAATAACTACTTTACTACCACATTATCAACAATGTATTCATCTCTCACCATTCTTATATGATTTAATTGTCATCAACTCTAAGACGTGTCCACAAGTTAAATATAGGATTGATCTAAATTCAGGATCAATGATTTGGAAGATATGATCGTTTTGAAGGTCAATATTATGATATATTATGGTCTTTTTGATGCAATTTTTCAGAATTTCTGGTCATTAAATCGCTTTGATCCAATTTAATAGAATGTCATTTTTATTGCCAATAATTTGTATGGTTTAAGTCGTACTGACAAGACTATTTGAATCATCATTTGGTTCAGCAGGATCATTTTCAATATGCTGAGATGTGGATTCAATAAGAATTTGAATTAAGATAATCATGTCCCAATTGTTGATTAAAATAAGAAGCTCGACTGCTTCCATGCATGGTGTTTGGTTGAAATAATCTTTGCTTAGCGGTGATATAGTATACGATATCAAGATGTAGTCAGAACATGACCTTCAACATTTTTAGCTATAATATAGGTTTGAAGCTTGTGGGATTCTGGAAATCCTAGACTCTATTGTCAACTCTAATTAGGAATATTGAGTAAAAGTCACTAGATTTAAAAAGCCTCTCTACAAATCTCGAACATATCTTGACTAGGTCGAACTTATTGAGAACATTTGTAATCTGACCAATCTGCCGCAATCTCTGGAAATGGAACTGTCAATATTTACTTAGGATATAGACCAAACTCAACAATAGACATAGTACCATTTCTAGACAGCACCAAATACTAGTGCCAATACATTGGGTCAATTGCTATTTACTTTTGGTATGAGCTAATGTATTGGATGGCACTCGAGTTGTAACTGAAAAGTCGACAGAATCGGCTCATAAATCGGGTTAAATGAAATGAAATAATGGAGTTTTATGTCCTACTTACAAATCGGGGTAAAGAAACTTGGTATGGAAAATTGAGATCTTGTATGATGCCCCATGTCTTGATGAATGGTTCTTCAGTCAGTGTCAAGATGTATAAACATTCTTGTAAGCAACAAAAGATTAACGAATCAGAAGGTAGCAGTATTACCTGTAAAAGTAAAACTAAATATATTTTTATAGGTTTGAAATCGGATACATCTGAAGATAAATTTGACGATTCTGATGTAGCGACAAATCGAAATATTAGCGCCAACAAAACGGCCATTGCTTAAGGCATTATCCAACTTAATAGTAAAACATTTAATTTTGAAACCCTAAAATGCTGATAAGAGATTGATTAAATTAGAGAATATTTCATCGAAAGGTTTCTGAGTTATCACCTTTGAATGTACAACAGCAAATTGTCGTCGCCCCTATCATGCATCCATACTAGAATATCTCTTATTTCTGTGAACAAGAGCAGGAAAATTGAAATTAGATTTTAATATTGATGATCAAAGCTGTGGTTACCAGGGATGTAAATGGAAATCAAGTGAAATATATTTAGTAACAAAGTTTAGAAAAGATCAAATCATAAAAGTTAAACTTAATTAACTGCACTTAAAACTGGAGTTCATAACAGTTTTAGTGGCTGTATCTTTCTTCACCTCTCATAAAGTTTGAAGCAGCTACAAATGAATGTCTTATTCAAATAGTTAACTTGCCTACTCTGTTGATAGTTTGGTTGGAATAAAATGCACTCATATTTATATCATATTGTCAAGCAATTACGAAGTGCGTCTTATACCTGACTTTAATAGCCAATGTTCTTGTATCCCGGAAAATTTAGGATGCAAGATTTGATTCGATTGTACGCTAGCGTATACAGTGAATCATAGTGAATCAAAGCCCGCGCTTACAGGCAAACATTTATAAACTTCTTTGGTACAACTCGGGTGGCTTTTTTAGTCAAGGCAGTTCGTAAAGCTTGACATTGTGAAGATGAAATACATTCGTATTACTATTATCGCATTGATTAAAACAGGTAATTTTCAAACTGTTCGTTGATCCAGTAATTTACAGCATAAAAAAATCGAAAACATTTCGGAAATAGAATAAATCCTTCCTTTTTCATGTCTGTTTTTACAAATCAATACTATGCATTGATTTAGAATGTCATTGTTCTAAGTTTTTTTAACACCCAATATCAATAAACTTTATTTTATTTAATCTTGTTGTCATTTTCCTGTGTTCATTGTTAAACGTCTGACTTTTGAAAAATCAGACTGGAAAGCGCCGGATTGATCCGTTTTACATTACAATTTCATCAAAAGTTGTTGGGATTTAATATGAAATGGGAAGTGTGTACCAGCTTTATAACAACAGGAATAATGACGATATCCTGTCTCCAAAAGTGAATTTTAATATTTTCATTATTGTCAATAGGTAATCTGTTTTTGTGAATTTTTATTTCAATAGGTTAGAAATCGTTATAAAACATTACTATATATGCTTTATGATAAGCATTGTATATTTAGTACACAAAATATTGCGAAATTATGTCTACAGAACAGCTTGGTTTCTCGTACAGATATAATTTGTTCTGCAATATTATCAAATACCTGATAAACGTTTTGCAAGTATGACGTTGATCGAGTACGATCGAGTGAAATTGCTATGTAAAAGATATGATATTCTTGTGCGAGCGATAATTTGTGTTGCATATAACAGTTTTACGAAAACTCTGGTACAAAGAAAGAGTTTTCTAAATAAAAACACCTCTTTTTCGGGACATTCCACTTTTTTGTGAGTCGAAATTATTTTTTGTCTCAAATTTGTGAAAACTATAATATACACCAAAAATCAAGAGAAATGTGCCTCTTAACGTATCTGGAAATTCTAAAATACAGATGTTAATTTTTAAACACCAAAAATAACGAAAGGTTCGTAATGCTTTTTGGAAGCTGTTCGAATACTACTGTACGGATTTGAGTTAAATAAATGCCTTATTGTGGAAAAGTATGTATCATACGTATTCTAAAAGGATTTAACTAATTATATTAATCCATTATAAAGCCAAACACCAAAACTAGGTCAAGATGCTTAGTTAACAATTAGTATTATCCGTTTTTATTAACCCTTTTATAATGAATTCGGTTTGATCACGAAGATACATAGGTATAATTTACATAGTTTTTGATATATAAAAACTTTTCACAAAAAAGCGCAACGCCCCTTTAATTATGAAACATAATTCGATGAGAACATTTAAATGACATGAAATGAGCTAGACATTGTAATTGTTCTATTTACGATCTGTTTAAATTATCCCCCTGTGATTCACTTCAGAGGAATTGACAATATAGATAACAAGGTTGAATTCACGACACCGACTCTTTTGGTCATAGTCTTCGTTTTAGTCTGAAACTAAGAGGCACATTTTCTAGTCGGTCAGCAAAAGTGGGATAAGTTTTATATATATTGATTTTACTTCATCTTTATCTTTTCAGAAACATGAATAACACTTCATCAGTCTATACACCCCATGTATTCCAACGTTACAGTATACCTCAACTCTTGGACACTTTCGCTCCAGGTTCACCAACAGCGGGACGGATTGTTCCTCCAATATGGTACATGGTAGGATTTATTGGTAATCCTATATCAGCCTTGATCTGGTTTGGTAAACGTATGAGACGGAACAACTCATCAGCGATATATCTTGGAGCGCTCTCAATATCGGACTTCTGTTTCTTGTTACTGCATATGTTATATATTCTACATTCTACCTGGGGATATCGTACTTATAATACAGAGAGTGGATGTGAGGTGTTTAACTTTCTGTTCTATGTTCCTCAATACCTGTCAACGTTACTCGTCCTCGGCTTCACAATCGAGCGTTACATCGCAGTTGTACATCCTTTCCTAAAAGAAAAATGGTGCACAGTAAAAAGAGCTTCTATAATAGTGCTGGTTTTGACAATATTTTCAATGGTGATTGCATCTGCTCAAACCTACATCTGGTACTACTACTCTGTGACGGATTCGTGCAATATCAGACCCCAGGCTCAAGTTGGTGGCACCATGAGCTTCAAACATATCTGGACCTGGTTCACCGAAGTTCTCATATTTATTCTCGTACCTCTCTTGGTTCTGATTTTTAATATTCTCGTATTACGGGAGATATTCAAACTATCAAACAACGGAGTCATATCGCGACAGAGTGGGGGATCTAACAGTACGACAGCATCCACAGTCACCTTGCTTGCTGTTTCATTTTATCTGATCGTTACTCAGTTAACGTCAACACTCGTCTATTGCTTGGAGCAACTGTTTGAACATGGAGACATTTACCTCTCGGATGAAGAGATCCGAGCTGATCCAGCATGGTCAAAGTTGTTCAATTATCTTACAGCTCGTAAAATCATTGAGGTTATCAGCTTATCACACTACGCGTGTTATATATTTATTTATGCTCTGACTGGGAAACATTTCAGAAAAGAAATCTTGTACATTCTTACATGCTACGGAAGATCCTCGTGGTTGGACAAGACGTGCAGTAAAACGCATCGAGGAGAGCGTTATTCCATGGTTTCGGGAAACGGCAATCCGATGTCGGAAACTGTGACAACAACATTTACGACGAACATATAGAACATTTTGTGTGAACGTGACGGCGAGTCATATTGTAAAGGCGGGTCGGAAGTAGATTCGGGTAACCTGCAACAGATAACCACGAGAATGAAATGTGGTGTTCTGTTGCTACAGCATATCATATATTGGTTTTGGATTCCAAAGTAATCAAATGGACATAGATTCAAGGCAGGAAGTTGTTTTTTATTACAATCTGTGATGCTTATGGAACCATTCCTGCGAATCTGAAACAAATTGTGTCATTAAAAGCTGGATTCTAGATTAATTCAAACTTATCACCTTTTGATACATACAATATGACATCTTATGAGGATAAGTTTGTAAATAGCTTTAAACGTTACATTTTGATAAGAGGTTCATTGTACAGGAAATGCTGATAAAGACAAAGTAGCCTATTCGTACCTTGACGAAATGCTTTGCAAAATGTTATCTTACAGAACAGTCTGATTATTTGCTGATTGACTCCTTGATCTACCCATTGAATACAAAGACCTATGATGGAGATTCTTTTCATTAATAGGAGTTGATTATTGTGACTCTTTTTAAAAGCTGTTGTAGTGGAACACATATTGTAGTCTATATGGCGAAAATATTTCACCAGTGGAAAACATGTGATGTTTTTAAAAACAACCTTCAGTTTAAAATAGACGACTTTGAGTTGCAGCAACACAAGAGGTTTTCCAAGCAACACGAAGAGCCAGCCTCTGATTGTGTTCGGTAGCTATGTTGACTGGATTCATGACCTGAACAAACCATCAGTCAAAAAGGATTAAACACTGGTTTGACTTTATTAGCCAATTTCGTATTGACAATGACATTAGTATGTAAAGTGTTACTCTCTGAAGTCGTGATGCTACAAATAGACATCTTAATTGATATATTTATCTGTTTTTTGATGTAGAACAATTGAACAAGACCGTTTTTGTCTTGTAGTAGGAAACATGATGGTTGAATATGTTGTTATATTATCGTCTTTGTTGATAATTTCTTTAAAAAAAAAACGTATTTTGAACTATTTGTTATGATATATAATGATATTGCCGATTTTAATGCGACCTTGAAATTATCTTTTGTAGTACAAGTATTTTCTAAACAACTATCATAACTTATTAACGTTACTGGTAACCGAGGTATTCCAGGATCTCGCTAATTCCTTTGCTAAACTATAAACATGCATTCCACATCCTAGTCTACATTACATGTACATACCTTCAACTGATAATAAAAGATGGCTGTTCAAGAAAAGTAACATAAAACAGAAATTTAAATATTTTTCGTGCCACCAAATCAAAATAGGTATATGCAATCTGATCACAGAAAATCACATTAATCCAACGCAAAAAATATATTATTAAATTTGTCCAACTTGTATTCACAACTTCATAAAAATCGTTAGTTGAAAGTTGACATCGGCCAAGTTTATAATGACTCTACCATCGGACTGTTTCGACTGTGGCCAAAAAAAAAAAAATTGTGATGCATTTAGACTTATTACGTTTGCGCATATAAACGAATCACGAGGGCAATAATTCAAAAAGCATCCATTGCAATTTCACCATTAAGAATGGAGATAGGCAATAGCAATATGCATTCCAAATTACATGTCTGAGTATAGAAGAACATTTTCTATTTACATGAAATACTTAGGTCATTCCATACGAAAATGCAGAAAAATTCCAAACAAATGATAGTATCTAATAGTGTGGCTAAGCAGCTGATTGTTCGAATGTTAACAATGTAAATTTCAAGCCAACCCATTCCTTAACATTAAAGATTGAAAGGAAACAGAAATAATAAACACAACGAAAGTAAAAACTGATTTAGGATTAAAATTCTCGCAATTTTTGCCTTTTAACTATTAATCAAAATCAGTTCATTTCCTGCACTGGCACATCAACAATGATTGACAAGAATTTTATCAGATATTATCAGAGGTACCAAAGGTGATTAACCTTTCCTCTTATCAGGATAACGGGAATTCCCGGATGTCTCGGCATTATCTTAGGCGATATGAAACAACCTAAGTTGTAACCAAAAGAATACACATTACCATTTTCTTCAACAGTAAAGATGAAAAATATCTGAAACAAATTAACTGGATACACTCGAGGCGACTTTTTTTTTTAAAGGAATCGAGTATGACGTGTATAAAAAAACATAATTAATGGATTTTATTCACAAAATTGCAAAACAACCATATCTTCAATCTAAATTACAAAAGGTACAAGTTATTACAGATGAAACTAGGACAAGAAACGGAGAATTTTAGACTCAAAAAATACTAGTATAAGAGTGTTTGGATCATTACAATTTACATGATGTATTCAACTGTCCATTGAACCCCCTTCCAAATTTAAGCTGCAGAGACGGAACAAATGGTATAGCAACACATCCAATAGAATAATACAGAATCTGAAAAATGTGGCAAGGGGGTGTATATATATATATCTACACACATTCACTTGCGTATGGGTTGGCCATTTCAGGTCATCTGAATCCGTTGGCTTCTTGGGGTCCTCTGGAAGCGGGCCTCACCACGGAGGGACAACTCTCATTTCAGCCCCCTCCCCTCGGATATTTTCTAGATACGTCCATATTTAATACACAAATGCAGAGTTTGAAATGGCATAAAAAGGTGTTGTAGGTCATTGTATATAATCAAAACTCGACATCAAAGACAAATGATTTATGATTTGAACACATGTTGTTCAAATCTATTTATCACCTGATATTATGTCAGATTATAGTGACTTTAACTAAAGTAAAAATCAATGTTATTGGCCTTACAAGTATTTGAAAAATCGAAAAATACACTGACTTCTGTCAAAAAGCAACTTTTATACATGAAAAGACCAAAAAGGGACATTCAGGGGCAAAAAACACTGCAAAATGAATCGGCTGACATATGATTTATTGGCTGTTTCTTCAATGTTTCAAAGGCTTTGAACTAAAACAGATGAAAGAAATATTCACCTTTTGTTCTAACGTCTTTGAGAAACGTTTGATCAACTTTAAGACCCAAATAAAGCTATTTCTTGTTATATAAATATGTGGTAATTAAGTCACTTTTTCTGGGTTTTTGTTTTGAAATCATAGACCTATTAGTTGTTCGTCAACTTTCAAACCAGGTATCAAAGGCTGGAATAGAGACTGAAATAGAGGCTGAAATAGAGGCAGATGTTTCGGTCTAATCTAATGGTAATTAAATAGATTTAGGTGAATATATACAGGAAAACATTTATCCACCTTTAATTTGTAAAGCAGTCAGACTGAAAGATCTTCTGTATTCCATAATGAAAACATTAAGCTAGAAGTGTTGTCTACAAACCACAATACCAACTTGTCTTAACTGAAAGATTGATGTCAAAATGCCTTTCATACCTAACAAGCAATTTCTCACTTGGCTAAACTATTGAAATATTGAAGAAACATATCAAGAATTTATGTGACACTTGAAAACAGTAAATGAAATGCAAAACTTGAAAAAATAAATAAAGATTTGAGATAAGGATCGATGTTATTGCCATGGGTTTATAAACTTCAATACTGTTATAAAGACTGAGAGAATTGAATTTTCCCAATTAACTTGTGTCATATTCTATAAATCAAGTAGTTACATATCTCTCCATTCTTTCTATTTCTACAGATTTTATTAAGATAAACTTCACATTCTTAATGAAGCTGGTCAAATCAATAACTTTACAGGGAATTAACAAATACAATAAAACAACAACAAAAATTCTTATAAAACATAAAGTTCATTCGTCAGCACTACTTCGAATTTCTGACTTTTGTTTCTAGAGATATTGTAGCTTTCTCAATAAAGATGAACAAATATGAAAAAAAAGATGGATACCCTGTTTAACATGGTGTACAGATACATACATACATGTATATGAATACAGAATATTCAAGGATGCATCATGTCTTTAAAAGAACAAATTTATGCTTAGAAATCCTTATAGAAATTTGTTGGGTTCTTTAAAAAGAACATTGTAGTCACAAAAGTAATCTTTGTCACAAAACAAGAGGCAGTTGAAGCAAGATTAATTTAGTAATATAGATATAAAGTAAGGATTCCCATAAGATAATTGACTAGAATAGAAACGGTCACAAATCATGTGACTGATGTGGCAGTTAACAGAAAATTAAGGAACCTCAGGACTTCCAATTGACAACAAAACATATATCATCATTTTGAGGACAACCAGCAAATAATGTACCAGTAGGAATGCTACCATCTAAACCATCCAACCATTCCTTGTTACCCAGAGTTAATGAAGAACCATTCCTGGTAGACCTGAAAACAGGAAGATGTCTTTTAATCTTTTCCAAAATATATTGAAATTTAAATTGTTGTCTGCTAACTTGTTCAATATCAAATATCTCATTAAGGCATGAAAAATACAATTTCTAATACTTTTAAGATTCAACTTAATGTCTCTTCTCAGCTTCTTTCACCATAGACTCGTAAAGAATCCTAGCAGCTACAAGTAATATGATTGGTTAAGCATAAACATGGTTAGAAATATAAATACATCTAGAGTGACAACCTATCTATCTGGTCAATATGTAGATCTGGATGTTCCACTTTACGATTTTTCGTTGATTCATGTCAAACACCAATCTCTTAGAAACCTATAGTGCTTTCAATTGGCACAATTAAGCATGAATATAAGAATGGAATCAACTCTTACCTGCATTGTGGAATAGGTATTTTACACACACATTTCTCTAATAATAAATTATAAATATATAATGTATCTATATCAGCAGAGCCAGTAAATACTGCAAACTTTAACCCTACACCAAGTAGCTGAGCACGTACTAAGCGCTGTGGAATGTTGGATAAATTAATATGGCGTGTTAGGGTTAATATCTTGTCTGTAAATGTATACATATCTAAATAACTGTTTAACTCGGTATCACTCCAGGTGCACAGAGCAAACCCATCACTAGTATGATGTATAAAGTTAGTAAACTGGCTGCCAGGTTTGGAATGTAAAGTATGAAGCTTGCTTATCTCCCCTGCTCTCTGCTGCCTCCATATGAAACACTGATATTTATCAACACTTGCAAATGTCACATTCTCTTCATAGTTGAACTCATGATTGACTTCCAAAAACTTGACTTTCGTGACCCATTCTCTATGATAGTGTTGTAGTGTCGTGACCAGGACTGGTTGAAGTTCTGCCAAGGACCATAGCTTCACTGATTTGTCTGAAGATCCAGTTAGCACCAAACTATGGTTGTCTGCTACATCAATACTAAATATAGCTGATGTATGACCCACTAACTGATGCTGCATTGCTCCAGAACTAATCTCCCAGCAAGCATTGGTACAGTCAAATGAAGAAGTATAGACATGTTTCTCATCAAACCATAGATCACAAACTGTATGGGTATGAACAGTATTCAGTAAGGTGCCAGTATGAGCATCCCATATCTTCACTGTATGATCATCAGAACCTGAGAATAAATGGACAGGTTTGTGAATTCATCGTTGATTCCATAATCACACAGAGAAAAAACAGAATAATAATCATAATAATTAACAGATATCAATTAAGTCCAGCGGGGGAAACTGTTTTTGGGGAGCCGTAAGAGAGATTAGGTTTTTCATTGTTAAATATTCCTTTTCTTCTTATCTGAGAAGCTTTGATCCCAACCTTAATACAAGGGAGGTAACTACACATTTGAAGAGAAACTAATAGGTACAAACAAAAATTAACTAAGATCAGGAACCTACCAGAAGCAATTTTACCATTTTTATACTGTATAGCCATCACACGACTCTGATGTCCAGCAAGATTTCTATAATCAAAACATTTTTTACAGGCACAATGTTGAAATAGCTGTGTTATTTGTTTATATAGTTTGATATATTTATTAGTATCTTTATGGCAGTACACAATACTCACTGCTCCAACCTGCTGTACTCTCTCCCACCATACCTAAAATACAATTAATTGAGCTTAATTCAACTTGAGCTTAAATGCACTCAATTGAACCAGCTACCTTTTGTTTTCCTTACGAAAATCTTTAAACAATTAACAAACAACAAATAAGTCTGTAGGCCCTACATAGTAAGTTTAGACTCTCCCATTCAGATAATACCTTATGTTTTCTCAACCTGGTTTCTCCTAGTCAGAGATTGATATGTTGTTTGGATGGGACGATAAATCAAAGTATGCTACACGCTGAGCTCAACAGTTGGAAATCGAAAAGGAGTACGTAAAGTACGCCCCTGTCCCAGCAAACTTTCCCTTGTTCCACACTGCATGAGGTTGCTCGTTTGCTCAATTAGGTGCAAAAAAGTGAGACTCAACTTGATAAAAATACATTCTTTTTAAGTTTTTATAACATACCATAGATGCATTATTAATTATATCATTCCATTTACTGGATACACAAGAACATTTTAATAAATTATAACCATCTAAATACTTTAATACATGATATCTGTAAAAGGCATTATAAAGATGTTTTTAAATGTCAAATTGTTTAAATACCATTTCAAGTTCTAATCATGAATAATTTGATGTTCAAGTTGTCAAAATCTATACAAAGGAATTTTTTCACTGCTATGCTTTTATAGTTTAGTTGGTTCCTGAGAGGACTACAAATCCTGTTTCTTGTTAAAGGTTAAAAGTAGCCTATGATAGTAAACAATTTTAATTCAAGGGAAATTTACCTGAGTTCAGTGGGCAATAAAACTAAGAAATCTCTGTATATCAATAGGGGGAGAATATCAGCCAGGTGTGTCAACTGTTCAGCTCCAGAAACATTTATCAATGAATCAAACACCTCATTCCTATCTTCATTTGATAGTTTCATGAATGTGCAACATGTTTGTTGTAGCCAATCTGGAAAATTTTCATCTATAACTTTTTGGTCATTTTTGTCTCCAGACATTACAATCCATTGATTTCAACCATTTTATTCTGAAGAATGGTTTACCAAAAGATATCATAACATAAAGTTTCAAAATGATTTCACAGAATCTGTTGACCCCCACCCCACAACAGCGGAAGTCAAACTGTGCATCATTCCAAGTTAGTTAAAGTAGATGAACATTGGACCCCTATGACAATTACTTGTGACAGAGACCTCACTCTCCAAATCTAGTAAGCTCAATGACATATGGGATTAAAGAATATTATGCTGTTAGTATTGCAATAAAAACCATATATATATCTATGACCACATAGGATAATATGGTGTCTGAAAAATTAATTGTAGTCTGGAAAAATTGCAAAATTAGGTCCCTTTATGAAACCGAATATAGATTCTACTGATGATCGCCTTTAAAAATAAACAATTATATGATGACAAGCAGGGAATGTATAGAGAAGGTTCTCCCCATTCAACATTTTATGTGATGCTAATTTGAATAAACATAGTTTGATTTTAATCACAAATTTATGATGAAAATTCTACCTTTCAAAATTTTTCTGTTTACGTTATTAAAGCTCCACCTGCATCAAATTGATGAAAGAAGGGAGATAACTTTTTTGTTTTTCTATAAAATGGACAAGTTTCAAGCAAAATATGAAGTAAATATACCACAAACGAATTTCTACTACTTATACCTTTACGATTCACAATGAGTAAGTAAACCTTTCTTAATAAAAGTACACCTCACTATGCAAATTATTATTAGGCTACAATGTGTACACATTAATCGCTTATATTACCGTTTATAATTTGATATTCTTTGACAATTGATATACTGTGTGGTGGCAGTAGGCTCACTACTCTATAGGCTAGAGACACGCTCATTTGATGACATTGCTGGCAATGATTACAACGTTAAACAGGCGACCGATGGCCAAGCCAACTGACCAGAGACTGATATGGATAATCAAATGGATAAACCCAATCTATACTCCTATGGATAAACCCAATATAAAGAAGATAGGCTATTGGTAGTAAGAATAGTTGCTACTAGTGGTTCCACAAATGTAAGCTGTATACTGCTGACAAAATAATGATTGCATCTAGAATTAACTATGGAATGTCTATGTTAATAATAATACATTTGCAGTAATTAGGTCACAGATCCATATACATGCCAAAATATATAAATAACTGGACATAGGCCTAAATATATTGTTTTAAAATCTTTTGAAAACTTTAAGTATTAACTATAAATGATTATATTGGATAAATACTTGCAATTTCCCTAATGGGCTACTATGAACATTTTTTAAAGCCGTGCCAACATCTGGACAGACATCAACAAATGTGATTGTTTGGTATATTTCAGAAGTTGCTGTTGGTATAAATTATATTGGTTGTGCTGGTTGTTGTGGGTTGTTCATGAGTCGAGATGGTTTCAAACTTCACATAGAATTCTGTGATGGTGACCCTCTAAAATCACATTGTGAGGCATTTGCCTGTGCCAGAAGCAGATACTTAGAATTTATAGCTAAGGAAAGTTTGTACAGATTGAAAGAAAATTCATTAAATGACTCTGTAGAAGCTGAAAAGATCATTAGCCCAAGAAAATGTAAAGGTAAAAAAATCAAAGAATTAAAGAGGCAAAACAAATCAGAACATGCATCAGAAGTATCATTTACAGATAATTTGAAGCCAATGGAGATAAAGTATTTCAATCCAACAGATCCAGAACACAGCTTGATTCTTTCCAATACTTCACATGATTTTGAGGAACAGCCCAATTTTGATTGTCTGAAACACGAAGATGGTTCTGAACCATTTAGAGAGGAACAACAAAATTTTGAATCCTTTCAGGATGTCCATGGCCATGGCAAGGGAACTGATCCAACACTCAATACTGATATGCAGCTGGAGATATCAAATGGTCATCAAGAAGATCATGATGGAAGATTACCAAAAGAAGATTCTAGTTTAGACACAAAAATTATTAAAGACATTGATATGAATGTAGTCATTTGTTCCAATACTATTATACCAAGTACTGTTGACAACAGCAAAGGACTGTTGAGTACCACATCAGATCCATCTTTATCAAGTTGTATTGGTGGAGGATTGCTCAGTGACCAACAATTGTCCCCTGGTGGTTGGACTCCATCCATGTCTACGCCTAGTGTTTGGAATCCTGTGATAACTGGTAATGCTGCAACTGGTTGGGCCCCATCAATGTCATCAGCAAGTGGATGGCATCCTACAGCATCTGCAACAAACAGTTGGACAACAAATTCAAATCAATCATTGATTTCAAAGGACCCATTGCATGATACAAATAGTGTTCCCTCACATTGTGTTCCTGAAACCATTCTAAATCAAGAGCTGTCAGTACCTAGTTCCGAAATTAGAGCCCAGTCAGTCGAAAGAGAACACAAATCCAATCAAGAACTTCAAACACAACCTGAAGCAGGTGCTTCCAATGAAGATGTGTTAGAAGATGTATCATCAATTGTTCCAAAACCCTATAAAGAAAACTGTGAAGTTGAAAGTGATGCTATTGCTCGAAATGATAATGGATCTGTAATTAGAGGTTATTATGATGAAAAATGTGAAACAGCTGATTGTCACAGAGGATCAATAAATTTTACTACTTCTGGAGACATCAGCAAACTTATATCTCAATTAGAACACTCCATAAATACCAGTGTCTCAGGTGAAACCACTACTGATCTAGTCTCTGTTTGTAAGACCCTTACCACACCTTCTGTGACTGGTGAAATGGTAACGAATTTGGATTTTGCCAAAGGAGCTGATTCACAAAGTTCTGAAGATGAATTGGTCATTGATGAAGGACCAAAAATAATTCGTTATAGAAACAGGATACGAAAAAGTCACCGTAAGAGACCTCTTCATGGAATGGAAATACAATTAGTGGAAGTAATGAAAGAGATGCCGAAATCTAATTACGAGGCATATTTTGATTTTTGTGGAAAGCGGGACCCTTTAGTGGGAAGTGACTTGAATGATTCCAAAGTTAATCACCAAGTTGTAGGGAAAAGTGGATTGTCAGAACATCAGCCATCCACTGAAGATGCATTCAATGTCCCAGAGGAGCTTTGTGAAATGTTAGAAGAAGATGATGCGAATTCAATGGGAAATTCTAACGAAACAGAAATCAGAAAAAATAAACTTGCATATTTTAAAGTATTCCGTTATGAGGGCAAAAGTCTCTATGTTGGGATTAAAAGAGAAACAAGAGAAAGCTTCTCAAACAATAGTTTCTGTGGTGATAACACTTTTAGTGAACGAACAGTTGAAGATGCCAGTCCAATTGATTCTAATTCAACGATTGGCCAATCTCTGGTGGAAAACAATCTTGATCCAGTGGTAGATAAAAGGCCAAATCCGATATCTCAGTTGGATCACGAAGTACAAACTAATTTTTCAGAAGATGAAGATTCTTGTGGATCCATGGAAGATTTGGAAGCAATGGATATCCCTCACTTAATAGAAAAACTGGCGCCTATACCTAGGTTCAAAACCTCAAAAAGCCAAGGTTATACTTCAACAAGATTTAATTCAAAAGCATCTACCCAAAAGTATATTCAGCAGATTATTAAAAGGTCTGCTGAGGATAGCACCAATTCTAAATATTGTGAAGCAGTAATGAATGGTGTTCCTGTACTAAAACGAGTTCCTAAAGCTGATGAGACAGATCATAATGCTGCCAAAAGGACTAAATTTGTAGAAATGCCAAATAAAAATATGGATATTGATCCTACAATTGCAAAAGGATCCACAGAAGACAATGATGATGCATCTGAACTGGAAACAAGTAAGTTTATCTCTGGACAAGCAACTCAATCCAAAACCAAATCTAATCCCACCAAAGGTCTTAAGCAAAGAGCTGAAATTAAGAAGAAATCTGATCTGCAGCAAATAACATCTAAACCTAGAAGATCTTCAAGATGCATCAAGATGCCAGAGAAACTGATAGTGGAAAATAAACCAGAAGAAAGAAAAACTGTACCTACATGTGATGATTCTGGTGAAGAATATGTTACTGGTCAAGGTGAAGACTCTGATGGTGAATCAATCCAGGTACCTGTATAACTTGCTCTTACATCATTAATTATTTTCTAAAATCCTCTCAAAATGCCATGATTGACTAAAATCCATATACATGAGAATTTAGTTCATATTTTATGTACATGCTGTGTTACATCAGAAGTAAATTTATATGTACCTTAGTACCTTCCAATGGCGTTTCTTGGAAATATCAGGTGAGTAGATCGAGAAGGGGGGGATGGGGTGGGTGGGCAGCATCTTTTCCGTAGAATCACCACTGGTCCTTTCCAAATATTATGTTTAATCTTTTGGGTATTTTAGTGGCTGTATTCTCTTTTCATAGGTCTCCTTCAAGACTAAAGATACAAAAGTAGTGCTACCAATGCCTACAGAAGACCAGTATACAAAAGAACAGTGTGGTTCTCAGACAGTGTATATCTGTAATTTGTGTAAACAGAAGCTGTTGAGTCTAGTCAAACTAAGGAATCATCTAGCATTAACACATAATAACGGACAGGAGTTTACATGTAAAGATTGTGATTTCACCACTTTATATCGTAGAAGATATAAGGCTCATGTTAAAAGACATACTGGTGATAAGAGTATCTGTCCTTACTGTCCAACATTTTATAAAGACAATTCTTCATTGACTCGCCACATTAATATCAAACATTTTGGTAAGATTCACTTTTTCAGTTATCATGTGTTCAGCATGACTCATAAACTTTATATCAGCATCAGAGATACTCTTATGTTAGCATCGAATTGCACCATTCCAATTTTTAGTCAGACGCAATGTTTTTTATGATGTTAGTATTGCAAAGGTTGATGCTATCAGTGTTTAAATCCTTGTTATAGTTATTATAACTAATTGTTTTTATCCATTGACTTAAAATGATAAAATTGTATGGAAATTTACTTTTGTGGTCTTGTATTTTATTTTTAATGGATCATGTATGTCTTTTTTATTTTAGAACAATCAAATTTCCGATGTTGTCAGTGTGAACATATAGCTATAGACAATCAACATCTTGCTGATCATATGAGGACTCATTCAGGTAAGAAATCCAAAAGATGCATTATGAAATGAGCCTTGTACAACATAAGCACTGTATAGACACTCTCATACATGAGGGAGAGGACAATAAGTCCTTTGCTAAATGAATTCCATTAAATGATGCTAGTTTAACATTTATATTGTCCTGTTGTAGCACATGATTCACATATGTGCAAATATGCATGAATATGCTCTATTTGGTTTGGAAAATGTCATAGTACAGAAGTATTTAAATATATTAATGAGAATTCTGTTTTGTAATGATTGATGTCCTTTGTAGGTGAGTTATTGGTCTGTAGGTATAGTGGTTGTGAATATAAAACATGGAGTTATAGAAATTACTGTCAACATGAACAGAGACATGAACCTCAATTTCTTTGTGGACAGTGTGGTTACTCTACCAGCAATAAACAGACTTTTACCAAACATATAGCAACTCATTCTAATCTATGTTCATATCAGTGTTCACTGTGTTCATTCCAAGCTCGAACAAAGCAAATTGTAGTTGATCATGCAGTCAGAGATCATAATCATATGGTAACATATTCATGTGATCGTGAACAGTGTTCATATACTACTCAGTATCAGGACTTCATCACATCCCATATTTACAATCATCTGGGAGTTTTCCCATATAAGTGTTCATTGTGTTCGTATAAAGGTGTTTCTTCAGCCGAAGTGTATGAGCATTCCAGTATTGAGCATCCCAATCATACCATCACTTTTGTTAAATTATTACCTGAGGTACAAAAAGTCAATCCTGTAGACTATATAGTTCCTCAGAAAACTCTACTAGACTCGGGTAGATTTGAAGTATTAGAAATTGAGCCACAGACAAATGATTGTATCAGACGTGATAAGAGATCTAAGGTCAAGAAAGACCGCTCAGATAAAAAGAAAGGTAAAAAAAAGACAATGTTTGATTCTGATGTTATTACTATTGATATTCCTGGCGATAATGCAGATCAAGTATGGAAACACTAATCTGTGTAATGTTCTTTTCTAGAAAATCAGTTTCTGTTTTTTGAAAATTAAAATATCAAATCAATCGTATTTTCTTTTGTGTATTAAATTCTCTTTAAAACCATCATATGAGTTAATGTCTTTCTTTATTGTCTTCAAAATGTACCTGAAAAAAAAATATCCTGTTGTTTAAGCTTTCTGAATTAACTGGCATAATTTTGCAGGGTTGATCTTATTATGTCACCAGCTACTTATATTTCATAACAATTAAAAAATGAATATCTTGGAATTTTAGCAATTAATATGTTGAATGTAGCTGACATGTAGAATCGTTAACATTATCCCATTATTCAAGGTAATCAAATTAAAATATATTTATGAATACCCCATTAAGGCATAGTATAACTGGCATTGAAAATAAATAAGACTTGACATATTTGATATTGTGCTTGTCTGTATTTTCAGTTTATATAAACATAGTTATTAAGTTAGTTTATAGATGATTTACCTTTAAACACTCTAGAATAACGACTGTGTTTTGGTGGAGTCCAGGAAACTAGATTTTGGCAGGAACTTGAGTCACTCAAGTGATGGGCATCAACCTGAAATATTCTTTAACTCATGAGACATCTGTCCTTGAATGCATTCTTTAGTAAAAAATCATAACACTTAAATATTATAACGATTTAGACTTAAATTTCAAAATTTTAATTTATTATAACTATACAGACCTTTATTTCATGGTTTAATATATTATAACTATACAGACCTTTATATCATGGTTTAATATATTATAACTATACAGACCTTTATATCATGGTTTAATTTATTTTAACTATACAGACCTTTATTTTATGGTTTAATATATTATAACTATACAGACCTTTATTGCATGGTATAATTTATTATAACTATACAGACCTTTATTTTATGGTTTAATATATTATAACTATACAGACCTTTATATCATGGTATAATTTATTATAAATATACAGACCTTTATTTTATGGTTTAATTTATTATAACTATACAGACCTTTATATCATGGTTTAATATATTATAACTATACAGACCTTTATATCATGGTATAATTTATTATAACTATACAGACCTTTATTTCATGGTTTAATTTATTATAACTATACAGACCTTTAATTCATGGTTTAATATATTATAACTATACAGACCTTTATTTCATGGTTTAATATATAATAACTATACAGACCTTTATTTTATGGTTTAATTTATTATAACTATACAGACCTTTATATCATGGTTTAATTTATTTTAACTATACAGACCTTTATTTTATGGTTTAATATATTATAACTATACAGACCTTTATTGCATGGTATAATTTATTATAACTATACAGACCTTTATTTTATGGTTTAATATATTATAACTATACAGACCTTTATATCATGGTATAATTTATTATAAATATACAGACCTTTATTTTATGGTTTAATTTATTATAACTATACAGACCTTTATATCATGGTTTAATATATTATAACTATACAGACCTTTATATCATGGTATAATATATTATAACTATACAGACCTTTATTTCATGGTTTAATTTATTATAACTATACAGACCTTTATTTCATGGTTTAATTTATTATAACTATACAGACCTTTATATCATAGTTTAATGTATTATAACTATACAGACCTTTATTTCATGGTTTGATATATTATAACTATACAGACCTTTATATCATGGTTTAATATATTATAACTATACAGACCTTTATTTCATGGTTTGATATGTTATAACTATAAAGACCTTTATTTCATGGTTTAATTTATTATAACTATACAGACCTTTATATCATGGTTTAATATATTATAACTATACAGACCTTTATTTCATGGTATAATTTATTATAACTATACAGACCTTTATATCATAGTTTAATGTATTATAACTATACAGACCTTTATTTCATGGTTTGATATATTATAACTATACAAACCTTTATTTCATGGTTTGATATATTATAACTATACAAACCTTTATTTCATGGTTTAATATATTATAACTATACAGACCTTTATTTCATGGTTTGATATGTTATAACTATAAAGACCTTTATTTCATGGTTTAATTTATTATAACTATACAGACCCTTATATCATGGTTTAATATATTATAACTATACAGACCTTTATATCATGGTTTAATGTATTATAAATATACAGACCTTTATTTCATGGTTTAATATATTATAACTATACAAACCTTTATTCCATGGTTTAATTTATTATAACCAGAAGAATAAACTGGTACATGTTGGTTGGCCAATAAGACATAAAAATCAGATTTATCATGTAATATTTTGTCTCCAATAGCTAGGTAGGTCTGAAATGTAAAAACAAATATATATGTAATCAGTTGCATACAGCCACAGTTGCAAAGCCAAAAAAATATTTTTGAAGAGCGAGCTAGTATAGTCTGTAAAAAGAATGGAATAAGATGTCATATTTACTCAATTTGTGAAATGAGACATTCAGTTTTCAATGGTAAAAGGTCCACTTACATCATATGATCCTGCTGGGAAATTCTTAACAACATGAACACTTCCATCTAAGGTTGTATGACCAGGATGCCATGTTCTTGTATCATGATATTTTGATAGTTCAGCAGCATAATAATGACCACTAAAAGAAAAAAATTACTCCCACGACATTAACCCCAACATCTGCTGTCTTCAAATAGAATGCTTATCTGTAAGATTGTAGGGTATGCAATTGAATTATTACAATATTTTCAATATGCGCATATTTTTTTTAAGAACCATCAGGCTCCACTTAAATCTGGAATATTTCCAAAAGAAATGTCCCTCTAATAGCTTATCGATGGAGCAAGATGGTTATATTATGTATAATGTATTATTAGTTCTAAGGTTAAACTTACTTTGATTTCGAGTGTAGAACGAGATATATATTCATGTGTTTTGGAGAAGCAAAACCAGAGTTGTTGATGGTGATGTGGTAGCATAATGTTCCTCCAGGATGGATGGTGTTTGGTAGAATGACCTGAAAGCAGAACATCATTTTGAACTGTTGTTTGATCAATGCAACCATATTGTCTTTGCCATATTTAGAGGACAGGGTCGTTATATTGTAACAACTACGGTAGTTAATAGAAGGCACAGATTCGGGTTTAAGCTGTTCACTAATGAAATCCAACCTGAGTCAGAGACAATCTGTATCCTAATCTTCTGTGTATTTCTTCATAACATCCACCTTTCTTCCATTTATTATTCACATCCTTATTGTAGTCCTGATTTAGAAACGTCCAATGGAACATCGCCATCTCCTTCAAAGCAGTTGGACACTCCTCTCTGAAAAGATGGGGTGAAATAAATATTTATTTCAATTTTTTATAGGTTTATCTTCTTTGATCCAAAAGATTAAAGTAAACACAGAGAGTTGTCATTTTCAAAAAACAAGTGAGTTTTGTATGCATTGTCATTGAAAGAAGAATAGGACATCTTACGTTGTTCATCTTATCGAAAGTTTCCATCTGTTCTCTACCTACCTGGGACCACTGGTTGGTCTACAAGTTTCACCACCAACAATACAGTATTCACTGTCTTTATGTAAATATGGATATTCCTTAGCCTTGTCTGAATAGGTACCAACATCATTATCAGATGATAGAAAACAGTCATTATGATGACCTGGAATTAACATCCGCAACCGATTTGTGAAATAGAAGTGAAATACAAGAATCAGGATAATGTAAAAGATTCATTAAAGCTGAAGGCAGAGCTAACCTGTTCCGACATCGCAAAGTATATAAATCATTCTTCCGCCTGGAGATGTGCCATACTTACAAGTCCTCGCTTTGTTCGTGTGCTTCAGAACCTCACCATAGGTCGTTGGTTTATCATCGAACATTGAAGTCTTCAATTTAGGATATCGGACTAGAACTTGGCTGAAAAAAATTTTTATTACGGCTCAACTTTTTGATATACTCATCATGTTGTCACATCACTAATACTGACGACAATGATGGATCTTGTACTCCCTGTCTCTGCCTTAAAAGTCATTGTTGAGTAATACCGAGGGATGAGAAAGAGAAACTTACATTGAATTAGGGACAGCATTTAATATCCCCATCAAAACTTCCTTTCTATCCTTCAGAACAGCATCAGAATAACCATGTGGAGGGTGTTTCAGATAATCGCGTTTATTAGGATCTCCAAAATATGTCGTGTAAAACCATTCACCTAGAATTGTAATGGCCAAAGGAACTAAACAGTGATAGAAGATCAGTAACATGACATCTTAATATCTGATCATGCAAGGATGATATTACAATAATTAGGCATTGTGTATAACCACAGCCAGCTGAATTTGTCATTTCTCTCTTGAATGATCTGAAACGACTATTGGACCCATTTCATAGACTGTACAACCATCTCCTTAATCTTATTGACTTGTTGATTCCGATGTGGACAGGTTAAGATGATGGCTTTCTCTGATTATTTGTCTAAAAACACCTTACCCCAGGTTCCTATAAATCCTGCGTCCAGAGCAGTTATAACTCCTTCATGCTGGTGTACAAGTGGTGACAATTGTTTTAGATGTTCCAGTATCCAATACTTATTAGCATCTCCATACGGAGCGTGTGGTTGCTGGAAGGATTTCGAAAATATTAATGGTGCTCTCATTGCACATACAAAAGACCAGAGAAATTCGTTGGAATCGTCAACAAGACATGCCCCATACTTACCAGCTGTAATGTATAGCAGAATCTCACGACAATATTAAAACCAGCAGATTCCAAAACTTGTAAGTCATTCTTGATTTGTTGAAGGAAGTTGGAATCGATGTGAGAACTGACGAAGGTGTCCAGAACAAAATTTCTTCTTATCATATTCACACCAGTCCTTTCACGTAACGAGTCCAGATAGTTTACCTTAAAAAGACACAATAAGGATATACATCAGAATTTACATGAGCTCAAATCCTTTAAATGTGCTGCATCATGGGCTACTAGCTATGCTGTGGTGTAGTCAACGGTCTGAAATTGAAGCTGTTACGTTATTCATCATCAACGTCGATAATACACAGGGTACTCTCGCCAAGCAACATTTCTGACATGGATTAGCTGTAGGTCTATACTTATTAATCCACATAGGGAACTGAAAACAGAACACTATATTGTGTATACTGATTCCAGCTATGCATTAAATCATCTTACTCAAGTTACATTCAGATTCAAAACCCTTGAAGCTACCGCGTCCAATCTACATTCAAGTTTTCGACTTTAGACTCAACAACTAGAGCACTCTGATGACACGTTACTTCTTGATTATATTGAAATCGTTTCTTACCGTCAGTGGATTGTAATGAGAACTCAGTGTTGATGTTTGAGTAATAAAACCTCTTCCAGGATTTTCAATATGATCTTTGATGGAAACATATGTCATTTTGGTGAATCTGGAAGTGGACACGATACCATAATAATAGAATAAATATTTGTTTTCTATGCTATATCATCCAGGTAGGTTGTGGACCGGGCAATAACAATTTTCCTAAGTCAGAATGGGCAAACAGCATTTTTAAACAGTGACTTTGTTAATATTACTGGAACCAGAATCTGAGATTGTTCTCTTGTTCTTATGAAGCAGATTTATTCGGTTGTTTCTTCTAAGAACATAGAGAATACTTATCCGAAGAGAGTTTCATTTAATACTAAAAGAAATCGATATCTCTGTTCGTGGTTAATCGTTGAATACATTTTTCGTGTGAAAACCGTTTCAAAATGACTGATGTATTTTAGGAGGAATAGATTTGGAAGAACTTTTCGGGGGAATGACTGCACTGCGGTTGAGAAGTACTACATTATACCACTTACCCATTGGGAACTGATGATATATTGGGACATGTTGGACATCCTCCTAGCACTGTTGATACAATTACTACAAGGTAGAGAAATATATATGTATTTATATATACATAAAATTCCGATGAGAGATGTAACTTAAGTAAAATTTAGTTCAAGTAGATTAACTCTGTTATAGATAGATAATATTTACTGTCAACATGTTTCAAGTCCATAATCATATTATTATAATAGATTGATTTTCAAATTGGCGTCAGATATTATTAGTTTTGTTGTTGAATTCAGATTTGAAATGCTTCCAAAAAAGGACTATACAATACTTACAAATTAACAACAAACCAAATCTGGTGAAATAGAGATCAGTCATTTTGATATACAGATAAAAGATAAGGAGTGAGATAAACAAAGCTTACTCTCAGGTCAAACAACAGCTGATAATTCGCTGGTTAAAACCCCAACTAAACCCCATGCAGGTCCCAACTGAACCCTGTCAAGGTGTGTCTATGCATAGAAATGATATATTTCTTACAAATCTAATACTGTAATACTTGGTACGGAATGATAATTATGTAATCAGATGTAGGCTACATCGTCCGGAACTATTATACTGAGTAAAATTTCATTCGGTATTAAATACTCATGATGCCACATGATTTTCAAACCAGCCAATCAACCCACTTCTAAAAACGATTTGTTTTGTAAATATGAACAAATATGAACTGTGAATATTACACTTGTTCGGGCTATCCCGTAGTTTTGATGAACCAGTCCCTTGTATTCATTGACGTTGAAACGTATGTATGCTAATGTGATCAGGGAGGGACCAAGGTGATTATATGACCATAAAGTGTGGATATTTATTATTTAGTTGACTTAACTTTGATTATGGAATCCAGGAATCCAGAAAAGAAATCTCAATGTATAGATAACATGATTGATTTTAATGGCTGACAAACTGTACATTATAATACATAGAATATAGATTAGCAGACAACACAGAACATTGGTTAAAAATATAAAATGAAATACAACAGTTTTACAGATTGAAAACAGGTTTTATGTTATACAAAGCCCAATTCTATATATTCATGGTAGATCAGACCAATCAAATTTTCCAAATCGAGCACAGGATTCATTAAATATTGTGTTTAATCTGGCCAAACACTAACATTGTGTTTAATATCATATTTCTCCAAGTAAAGAAGTTGATTCATTCTGAAAACCCATTTACAGTGACTCTACTACCATAAGGACTGATTGAACCAAGTCCAAGCGCCCCTATCCCGAAGGGGGCTACATCTTCAGAAATAGCATTAACTACAGACTGAAAATATTTCAATCTTCCATTAATAAGCATTTAAATTGACTTACAGATGGGTCTCTGAATGCAAAGAGAGCCTATGTTGAAAAAGTCCCAGGGGAGGGAAACCCACTAACGTCCACGGACTCCCACTAACGGTCACGGTTTGCCATCACTCCCACTGACGTCCACTGACCCCCTTTTATTTACCCTGAAAAAGGGAAAGGTTCAACCTGCCACGAAATAATAATCTTAGGCTTCATATAATAATCATACAATAAATACAGGACAAAGAGAACATTGTAAAGACAATATTAAGAAATATTAACTGTATATAGAGTAATTTGATAACAATTTGATGGCTCAGATGGCTCAGAAAATCAGCAGTAAGAGTTCATGCCACAGTAGAAGTTCTGAAATGCAAGAAATAGACACAGTGTACAAATGAAACCTCTTTAATGGGGGTTTAAATGCCAATATTTTAAACTACACAAAATATCAATCAAAAGAAATAGATTGGAAATAGTAAATAACTTTGCTAATACTTCATATACTAATCTAACTATGAAATCAATATCATGAAGGAGTCACACTGGCCCACGGAATACAAGTTAAAGTAATGCTGTTATTATTCTAATCTCTTGTAGATAGTTTCGGTCCTTTTTTTTATTTTTAATAAAGCCATTTCAGTTAAACGAGAGCCCTTTTGAACCTTTTGACCTAACCTGATAAACACAAAGTGCCAGTGCTGGAAAAGATAGAAATTCGATTGTTTAAGCAGACATCATCGAGTTAGGTCAATAGGTTAATTAGACATATGTTTAAGAGGGCTGTCTTTAGACCATAACTGAAGTGGCTATATTAAAAACAAAAGTTAATTAAAAATGAAAATAGAAAATTTGGTCTATGGGAATACAGAATCTGATGATGTTACAAGCACTGCAATAGAAAGCTAGTCGGGACCAAAACCTTTACACTGCAATAAAATATAACTAGATCAGTATATAACATAATCAAATATAAAAGAAATAGTATGTTTTTATCAAATTGTAGACTTTAATAAGAGACACTTATAAAGAGACACACAAAATATACATCTAAAATATCTATATCACAATTTCTTGTTAAAAATATTTATCAAAAAGAATATCATAATTTGTAAGATGACATTCAAGAAAAAATGATTTGTATTTAGTTAACCTGGGGCCTTACTCTCAAAAACTGATTTAAGTGCTCCAGTCATCTGATTTGGCAATCACTAAAATTGGTTTTAAATTTTGTTTTGTCATCCAATCCGATTACTGTATTTCTTAAAATCTTTATTTTAAGTAAGTTTTGGAGAATAAGGCCCCTGGTTTGAACTCATTAGAGAAAGTCCTGGTAAAATCAGACTTGTCATAGTTGCTATTCTCACAATTTGGATTCATAAAGGCTAAAAACATTATTTTAAGCAATCTTCAAATATTATAGAGATAAACATCTTATTCAGCTCAAATGTACAGCCAAAGCTAGGATGAATCTGGACCATGAATAGCTGATAATGATGAAGTTGGTTCACAATATTAATGCACATCCTGGACATCAACCATACTTGACCACGATTGAGTATTCACCTCAATACTTAAACATGATTGGTTTTCTTTTATATTTCATGTTTTCATGCTCACTGGATGAGCAAAAATATTGATCTAACCTTTCATTGTGCAGTAAATATAAATAACAGTGAAATATACAATATATGAATGAAAATAGAAAGCAAGGATGAAGTTTGCAAGCATTTCAACACTAAAGCATTAACTCCCAAAATGAAATATACAAAACCTCAGAAGAAAATGAGCATATTAAATTAAGATAAGGCATATAATGGTAATATATACATTGAACAAATTAAAGAAATCAAGACTTAATATTAGAAAGAAAAAATAGTCAAGCACTAGCTTTTGGTTATTTCTGAACTACACTTGGTTATATGTTAGGGCATCCATGGCCCTGAACATACTGAAATAATGAAAATGTTGGGTTCATAATACTTGAAGTTTAAGTTTAATCAAGCCTCATTCAAAAATAATTAATATAATATCATATGAGAGGAATAGTTAGTTTTAACACTACTAATAACTTGCATAGAAAAGTTTTGAACTATAAGATGGTACACTACAGAACTACACAAGGCATAACCTAATGATTATGAACTAGATGAAGGAAGTCTTTGGTTTGCAAGGGAAGGAGGAAAACCTAAATTATTTAATAATTTAATACTTTGCACTAAAGGAGATTTTTATAGTTTAGTGACCTAAAGTTTTGACGTGGTGGACCATTGATTCTATTCTTGATTTATTATATAGGAACCTCTTTGAATACTAACGAAAAGATATGTCATGCAGTAAGCTATGTGTGAAAGGTTGCTTGGACAGTGGCATTTGCTCACTACTGTTATTTTTCAAACTGTAGTGGTATCTTTAAACACAGTCTGTATGTGCTTGAATAACTTAAGATCTGAATTGTCCTTTTACTTGACTACAGTATATTCTTTAAAAAATTTGAAAATTTATGGAAGCCGTTTTGTAAGCCACAAGGAAATTTTACTGGATGAATTGAATAACATGAATCAATTTTTTCACTTACTTATTGTTTCAATAGAAGACAATTTTATAATATAATACTACTGAGCATATGAAATGAGCATATTTGATAGATACAATAAAGATATATATTTCTAACGACATATATAGGCTATACATGATATAATGGTCGAAATTTTTATACTAATTCAATTTCATTCTTACTATTTTTGTTGCTGCTTTGGTACACTATTCAAACAAAAAACTGGTGTAGCAAACAGAAGGAAAAGCGAAAGTAGGTTTTACAAACAAATTTCAACTAATCTGATAAACTTTGTAAATAATAACAAAACAAAAATACTTCAATTATATTCCAAATATACAATATTGATCATTAGTTCTCATTGTTATTTCATAAGACAATGGCACTCAGAAGGAATCAACACAATTTTTTAGCCAAAATTAATAGTCTTATCAACTCTTGATACTGAATGGCCTGTAAGGCCTAAAATCAGAAATTTGGCAACAGCATAGGTGGTTACATTACGCATCAGGAAGTCAAAACTCAAAAACATCAAATATATATATTCATAAGTGTTAAAATTGTCATATTCTCTTCATAATGAACATGCGATATTTTTCTTTTTCTGAGCTTCATTATATTCCATATTTACTCTTTTTAACTATGTCAGCTTATCAAATAAAATTAGAGTGGATTTCATGACCTGCATCTAATCTTTTTAAAAATTTGAATCCCATTCAAAATGTAAATGATACTAAATGATATATATCAATTTTATGAAATAATTAAAGGCTGAGATGAGAAAAATTAAAAATCAATTCAAAATACAAAATTATCTAAGTTTCGATGTTATATAGTTAAGAATAAGTATGGCAAGTTTTTTTCTAACATAACATATTAAATACATGTAAACAGATACAGACCACTATTATAAAGCTCTATTATAACATCTATTCCAAATGATATTTTGAAAATAAGAGTCAAATTTAAAGGGGAGGTTTGTGCATATAACGCCAGAATTGTTAAAATATCACTTCTCCCTTTTATACACAGATATATCTATTTTTAATTTACATTGTAAAATCATTTTTGACTTTCCCTTTAATGTAGTCTCTAAATGTTTTCAAGTTGTCTGATTTTTTAAAGTTTTACATAAAACTGAATGTTATCTCTGTATTAAACAGACAATTACATAGATATTTCCAAATATACCAAGTAAATAGGAAAATACTCCCAGTCAAGCTAGAAAATTTCCCTTAGCTGCGTGGAAAAAATAAATGTGGGCCTGCCCAATTGATATAAAGCAAAGCAATAAAATCTGGTTGTTATTGCTTGAAAGTTATGTAAATTGAATTTCATTTGTGCTTGGTTGATAATGTTATACTGCTAAACAGGCATCAGTAGAACAGAAACTAAATTTTAAAATTGTTACTGCGTAGTCCTGCTACAGATAGATAACTTCAAAATTTTAATAAAGACTTTAA